TGTATGTATGTATGTATGTATGTATGTATGTATGTATGTATGTATGTTGTGTATGTTGTTTATGTTGTGTATGTACATGTATGTAATTGTGTAATTGTATGTATGTATGTATGTATGTATGCATTGTAATGTTATGTTATGTTATGTTAAGTTATGTATGGTATGGTACGGTACGGTATGGTATGTATGTATGTAACGTATGTAATGTACGTAATGTAATGTAATGAAATGTGTGTATGTGTGTATATATATACTTGTTTCGCATAAATTTGAACATGTAGCACACCAACGACATAAATTGATTTTGAACTTGTTTTTTTTTATATAGCTGATGAGATTTCCCAAGTGCATGCTGGAGCAGCCATTTTTGTTCGTTTTGCCAGGCTTGGGTTCAAGCACGCGACTTCCTCATGCGCTATATATATATATATATACACGTCATCATTACCAACACACTTAACACACGTGTTGTTTTTGTTAGCTGCTGAGCTTTCCCAAGTGCATGCTGGAACAGTTATATTTTTCGTTTTGCCAGGCTTTGAAGGTTCAAGCACGCGACTACCTTTATGCTATATCACACGTAGCACACGTTTTGTTTTGTTAGCTGCCGAGATTTCCCAAGTGCATGCTGAAGCAATTTGTTTTTTGCCAGGTTTTGAAGGTTCAAGCACGCGACTACCTTGTGCGCTATGTATATGCTATTTACATATATAGATACACATATACACGTCATCATTACTAACACACTTAACACACGTTTTGTTTTGTTAGCTGCTGAGATTTACCAAGTGCATGCTGGAGCAGCCTTTTTTCCCGTTTTGCTAGGCTTTGAAGGTTCAAGCACGCGACTACCTCATGCGCCACAGCATTGAAGCCACTGGGACTCAGGAATAAACGAAGTAGGGGCAACAATCAGGTAAACTCGAAACATAAGGATCTTTGGCATGCAAGTGCACATGGGAAATTGTAAAGTTTTTTTGTATAGATGTTAATCCCTTCGATGCACAACGCAATGATAGATTGGTTTTCTGAGGTTGCAAGTGCAAACAAACCCATAGCTATCTAAAGTTCAAGTGTTTTTTTTGCTTTCCGTTGGGGGCCTGTTTCACCTAAGGAGCGACTCTCCGAGGCAGTGAAGGCATGCAGAGTCAAAGCGAATGTGCAAAGAAAAACAAGTCTTTTCTCAAGCGTCGCTACTAGGAGCAAGGACGCTACTAGTAGCTCCTGGCAAAAACTACTAGTAGCAAGAAGCTACTAGGAACAAAGGGAATCAGCAGTAGGAGCAAGGGTGCTACTGGTAATGTGTTCCCCGGATGTGCCCAAAGATCTCGGATGTGCAATGAGACTATTCGGTGATCAATGAGACGAGTTGGGTGTTCAACGTCACTCGCTCCAGAGTTGGGCAATCAACGGAAAAATCAACAATTCTTTGCTCAGGCCTTGCTGAAAGAACAGCCAGCTGATCCAACGGCCTTCCTTTGCAAGCAGCTTACAGATTGGGACCAGGTGACCCAGCAGCGGTGGTTAAATGTCCACAGGAGTTCCATTGTTTTGATGTGTTTTGTGTAATTAATTAATTTTTTCTGGGTTCAGCACCTTGCCAGGCGCCTGGGCACAAAGAGGCACAGCAAACGAATCAGCTCCGCCTGCGGATGTCCTTCGTTGGAAAACACGGAGCTCACATGAAAAAACTCCATGAAAAGGACCCTCCAAGAGGAGGCCATAAATAGCCTCAGAGGTTATATAATATAAGGGTCTCCCACAAACCACCTGTTGGAAGGTCCTGATGCCGGGCGTCGCCTCGTTTGGCCGTTTCGCTGCTCGTGAGGCGGCGCCGGAAGGGCCCGAGGCATCGGAGTTGCCAACGGTCTTTGAGGAGGGCGGAGCTGCCAACGGTCGGCGGTGTTCGTAGCCATTGGACTGGCAGCTGGCAGCTTTTACATTGTTACATTACGTACATTTTGAAGATGAGAGCGTGATCTTGGCATCCTAAGCATGCTAGTAGTGTTTCCTAAGATTAGTATACGTATTATATATACTGTATAACACGTTTGAAGCTCCAGTGCGCTGGTGGTGCCTTCCGAACCAGTGCCACACTGTCACACCCGTTCGCTACTTTGCCTCCTTGAGGACGAGTCCGTGAACCGTTTGCGCAAAGATGCGCGAGACGCCCTCATCAAAGCATCGGATAATGGTTCGCTTGGGGCCGCGTCCCTTGGCAGCGGTTCACGAGTCAGTTGCAAAGCTGATGCTTCCGGCGACCCTTATCAGGCTAGGATGCTCCATATAGTGGGTGGTGTGGACCACTGGGGCAGACTCGAGGGTCCTTTGTGCTTGGACTGGACAATGCGGCGGCAAAGGATGCAAGGTAGGTCTTCAAGGGTTGTGGTACCCTGAGGAGAGGGTTCGAGACAGCTGCTTTCAGGTTGTCCGGGCAAAGTGGAGAGGCTTGGCCCTTCACAGCGATGACGTTCGCTCGTTCGCCAGCGACTCGGGGAGGTACTTTGGGTACTCTCGTTGGTTGGTGGGACTAAGCAGGAAAGATGCTAGAGCCCTGGTTCACATATTAGGAAAGCAGGCCAACCCATGATGTACAAACCAACCAGTTTCCTAGGAAGACACAACAGAGTCCCTAAAGTAATGTGAACCAGCAGATAAGGTCCTGTGAGCGCACCTTGAAAGCACGGTAGCATAATGGAGTATAGTCTTCACAGCTTTGCAGGTCATCTGCACGTTTCCAATGCTAATGGTTTGCGCGGGCGAGGCAACTGAAAAGGATCAGCTGCGCATGAGGGTCTCCAACCTGTTGATGTCTTCTGCGGAGAATGGCGAGCTGGAGAAGGCCTTGGCTGCTGTGATGAAGGACGGTCCCGCCACTGCCAGTTGGTTTTGGCAGCAAGCTCCTTAGGATGTATATTGACATGGACCTAGAGGTGTTTTCCCTTGCAGCCACAGGTCCCCCTGGAAGAGGGGGTGCAAGTTTTCATGTCTCCAGTGGATGCGACACGACGCGACAGTACAACGAAACGGTCATGTTGGACACTTATTCGATTCGAACATTTAGAGGTCTGAGCATTTGGCACTTCTGGGAGAAAGGGGGGTGAAGTGGTTGATAGATGGACTGCGGATCTGAGATTGGTCCGACCTTGGTCCCTGTCCCGCCTGAAGTCGGCTCAAACAGGGGCCCGCACCGTCCCACATTGTGGGTCCTTGTTCAGTTTTTCTAGCCATGGCAGAGGAGGGAATTTCCCTCAATTGCCCTTGCCCCTGCAAACCAGACTCACCGAAGAGCATCTATGAGACATGCCCAAGTAGACCTGAGGAGAAGCAGGGTGGCCAAAATACTGATGTGCATGACATGTGCACAATGTGTTTCATTGCGGCATCACGCGCGTTTGGTATTTGACGACACCGGTTTACGGATGTACACCGATTTACACCGGTTCACTTGAGAGCGGTAGATCACTTGAGAGGTAGGTCACTTGGGAGCGTTCTACATTGCGACCGCATAGGGTTTACCACCTAGTATTGATGAGATTCACAGAGGTTCATGTCAAGCACAACCTTTTTCAAGGTTGTTTCTGGAAGACTGCGTTCAAGTGATGCGAGAAATGCAACGGACAAAGCCGACATCACGAACATTCCAAAGCTGTCCTTTTTGAACAATTTTCAGTACAAAGAAGACACACTTTTTTGTACTGTTAAAATGTTCAAAAAGGACACATGCATTTTCAGCATCACAATGGTGCCAAACCAAGCGGTGCTCAGTGCAAGCCATCAACCTGTTTGCTGCGAACATGTTTGCATGTAAATCCAGCCGGTGGTTGGTGCCTTTTGAAGGACGTTGCTTTTTAGAAATCTTACTACTGTATATATAGATGTCATCTATTTGCTTCAGGGATTTTAAGGCCGCAAGTGAGCCTTAAGTGGTTGATGGCGCCTATGTTCACATCCCATTTCCACCCCCATGTCCATTCAAGCCAATGGTCCCTCAAGATCGTCGATCGTCGGCGTATTCCATAGTCGTCGTTGTTTTTGCAACCTCGTCGGTCTTTAGTCTTTTGAAGGGTTGTCGGCCATGACGCCGTACAACAAAGACAAACGAAACTCAGAGATACTTTTTGCTAAAACTGTTGTACACAGATGAGAAACGACGCCCTTTCGATGGCAGCCTTCCCAGAACATCACATGATTTCGCTTTCGAAGACATGATAGAACGACTACACACCGCAGATCGTAAACATCTCTAAACCCAGCAAACCTGTAAAGCCACGTAAACCTGTAAACACGCGTAAACCCGTAAACCCGCGTAAACCCGTAAACTCGCGTCATCAAATTCAGACACATTTCCCGCTGCACTAAAATGTTTGATATCTTGGACTGGAGCCCGGAGCCCGGTGTGTTGTCCTAGGAAGGTTGGATAGAAAGCTTCCTATTGCAATATTTTTTGTATTATGAATAAATCGTAGACTGGTTATTTTGAGATTTCGGGACTATGACGAATGTGTTGCTAGGATGTGTTTTAATATTTTAAGATGTGTAACCCATGATGTTGCAGGGACTTTGCCCACATGACTCTTCTTGTTGGTGTGCAAAAGGCGGTGTTTTCAGATAACTATAGTCCATTGTCCGGGGGTGCAGCAAGCTAGCATCGTGACTATCCATGGCCCTCAAGCAGTTGTAATGTTTTATTGTTCAACGTTTTTTACTACATGTGTTTTTTTTGCACTGTCACCTTAGCACAGTTGTATTGGGGGAATGTCACTGAGGGTGTGACAGGGCTGCAGTTTCGCAGCCATAAGCACACATCACCATCGCTCAAAGTGTCTTTTCTTTGGAAACTTCACCCACCAGTGCTGACTGATACTTTTGGTGTATAATTTCGGGAGACAGGTCATGAGGAATGAGGATTGCTTCAGGTCATTGTTTCTGAGTGCAGGAGAAAGTCGATGATGACCCTCCACCCATCTTTGAGTGGATCATCGAAATGCCCAGCCACAAAGCCAAGCACTTGGAGCAGCTTGATAGCAAACGTGCTTCTCGTCGGTCATACTATGACTCCAGACATCCAAGCAAGGAGGTTAGCGAGCCGAACCGAGTGCTTCATGACCATAAGTTGGCCACGATGCAAGCCTTTATGAAAGGTGTGAACCGGAACCCCAAAGTGCTGGAGCGAGCAGTTGAAGAGAAGAGAAGCGAGGGAAGCGACAAGAAGAAAACAGTCTCTTTCGCAAATTTTGAGTCGAAGGTCCAGGACGACAAGACCCAGAGGTCGTTCGAGAAGCCCGTCAGGTCTGCAAGTGCCTCTAGACTCAGGTGGTCATTCTCAATTAGCTGAAGCTGCGCCCCTGGGGTTCAGCGGCAAGCAGTTGATGGCGGCAAGGCAAATGAAACTTGCTAAGTAAGCCGTCCTAGGGCTGCATAGACAGCTGTAGGGGTATTTTGTCGCGCACTTATATACGCCTGAAAGGCGGTGAAGAGCCATGTTACCCAAGGACGTGGCCCTCCCAAGTGTGCCTTTTGTATTCTTTTTCAAGACAGTTGCTGCAAGTTTTCGCAGAAAGCTAGAACAGTGGCATGCATTCAACGATTGCAGCATTTGCTCATCCAGAGTTCCCGATGTGTTTGGAGGGCAATGCCAAGGGGCTTATGATCACCCAGGCACACCGGGCTCACCCTCTGGATGTAAACAATATGGCTTCGAGTTCGATAGCCCTACATTGAAGATTTAGTTCGACTACACAGGGAATTCATTGCAGACACTTGGGATTGCACTAAGGTTTCAAGGTTGTCAAATTGCAACGTTCAGAATCGTGCTCACCCTAGAATCACCAGAATGTGTCAAAGCAATGGGTGCGAATGGAGATGGCCAATCATTGTGAGGCAATCCAGTGTGTTTCAAGCACCACGCTCTAGTTGAATCTTCAGCGAAGCGGTAGCAAAATGCTCAGTGTGAGGGTACAGGGCCTAGCACGCGGCACAAAAAGCAGATGATTTGATGCTTATATACATCAGGTTGAGAGAAGGCCGTGAATGAAGAAGCGGGTGACTGTTCACGTTGCTGGTCTTTTACACCTCAACACAACTGACTCTGACTTATGAGGCATATTTGGTTAGAACATGTTAAAATCAGGTGAGGCAGACAGGTCTTTCAGAGTATGACACCTCAGGTGTAGTGACACATTTTCATGTTTCAGCAACATGCAAAACAGTTGTGACATATTGTAGCCGAATCATGCAGATGTGATGTTGCTGATTTGACAGCCTCCCCCGGCCACCAGATGGCCCCAGGGGCCATCGGAGACCCTTAGGATATTGTAGGACTGACGGATGCCGGTCTGATGTCAACCATTGCAAATTGATAGCCTTGGCTCCCGTTTCCCAGCGTGCGAGGATGGCCTTGGCTCCTCGTCCAAGGCGGGTATGTCCACTTATGTCCGCCACCCGAGAAGGGACCTTGCGACGTAATCTGAAGAGCTTCACACGTGATTTGCCCTACTAGCAAGAGCAGAGGGGTATTGAGGATGCTTTTCATTTAGCAACCTCCTTCGGACTCGTTAGCACACTGCAGAAGCAGCACCCTACAAAGAAGTCATGCCAGTCTCCCTGGTCACTGCTTTGCATGGTTTGTGTATGTTCAGCCGGGCACTGTTTTGACAACCTGATCAGGACTATAGCCTGTAGTAACAGTAGGATGACATGGCGTTGGATCATGTAATACTTTGTCAAGAGATCTAGTCTGTCACCAAAATCAATAATGTGAAGCACTTTTCAAGGAATCTCCTCCCCGCCCTCAGGCAAGGGTAGATTTTTCGAAAAAGCGAACCCTTTTGGGTCCTGCCGCCTAGTAGAGGCATAGCTACTATATAGTAGCTAGCAGCTTACCTAGCCTTTTTGTGGCCCTACCCCCCACAGTATACCACTACATCCTACAACACAAGATAAATATGTAGATGCAGTTTATTTAAACTTATGTTGAAATAAAAATCTTCACCTCGTTTGAAGGAAAACTATATGGAGCAGCTCCGCAAGAAGGCCAAGGTGACGTGATGTTTGTCGGAGCAAGCGTGCGTTTTGCTTGTTTCGTGGCTGATTGGATTTGTGATTGGCTGATTGGCTTCTCATTCTGTCAATTGTCAAACTTTCTATTCAGGCGAAGTGAATAGCTCAACCCAACTCACTTAGCCAGCAAACACGTCAAGGGTCCGTGTGGAAGAGGGAAGTAATTGGAGGTCAAGATGCCCTTTCTTGTCTTTTTGTTTCTTGGGCTAGTGACTAGTGACGACGTGAGTCAGAAAAGCAGCAGGACGTCCACTTGAAGGCATTGTGCAGGTCGGTCCGTCACTTTGAAATGCTACACACCATCCGTCCTTCGAAGGACACCCTGATTTCCTCCATGGAGGACGGATCCCTGGAGGCCGCGTTCCTTGGCCAGAATGGACCATATACTTCAATTATTGGACCTTATTGGACTCTTCTTTCATGTTCTTTCTGGTTCTTGAATGCATAGCGAAGGGTTCCACTTAAATCTCTGGGGGGTTGGGGGGTAGAGCGCTGTTTTTGTTGCGTGATGTTCATTGACTTTCTTTCATGTTGCAAGCGTTCGCGAGCGGCGGAATGTGATAAATAAGGCCGTGAGTGACAGCGGGGAAGCTTTTGGAAGAGGTTTTGGACGGACTGATTCGTGTGAAATAGCGTGGAAAACGGAGCATGTTGTAGCGTGGAGGATGATTTTGCTGCGCAGCTGCAGCATTTTGTGAAGTCCTTAGTTGCCTCCGCTGTGACAGTGGGATTGGTGTTCGCAGGGTGGTCTTGGGTGTTACTTTGACACTGGCATTTGCGGTTCAGGCTGTTGCCTCGAAGCTATGTCTTCGTGACAAGTCTCAGCCACAATTGCGATTTTGGTGGGCGTGAGTGTGCTCAGAAAGTGTCGGTATAATTCCAAACGTGGTGTGGTGCAAATTTTGCTGAAGACATGAAGATGTCATGTCGTCACTTTTCGTGGCAGGCGCAGTTTTTTGTGCGTGTTGGAGGTGTGCAAGGAATCGTGAGGTTGCGGCGTTTGGTGGGCTGGCACTACGAAGCTGCTTGGCAGGGCTGCTTGATGCGTTCGCTCTGGTGAGACTTCCCGCCTCACTTTTGAAGAAGGAGGCTTTGATGCAGAGAATGTCTCGTATGAAGCGCTCGTTTTCAAGACTTAAGACGAGTGAGTTTTGGGGGAAGTCTCGGACGAAACGCTCGTTTTGGACACTTGACGCGTGCTTTCTTTGGAGGAAGCAAGAGTGTGCCGCAAGAGTGCCCTACAATGCCTACAAGATCCTACAAGAGTGTCTCCTGCAAGAGTCCCACACGAGTGTCCTACAGGAATGTCGCGCAAAAGTGTTCCACAAGAGTGTCCTAAGAGCACTCCACACCCCGCAATGGTGTCTCCTTCAAGACGGTCTCCCCCAAGAGTGTCCTACAAGACGTTTTACAAGTTTGCCCCACAAGAGTATCAAACAATGCTCGGCTGTTTGTTTTCGAGCGAGGGTGTGCGTTCAGGGCTTTTTGGTGTTTTTTCCACAGCACCTCACAATGATCCAAATGGCTCCTGCCTTGGAACGCGGTGCAGCTTTTAGTGTGTCTTGAGACGGTTTTTGCGCATGGAAGTTGTGGAGGAACCAGCGAAGCGTTGACCACCCAGATGTAGTAGACCAAAGGCGTGGTTAGCAACTTCCTACAATCATGTTGACATCCTTGGACTTGTAGGAGACCCCTTTATTTGAGAAAGACTTCATGGAAGTACATGATGACCACGAAGTCATGCCTCAAATGAGGTTGACGCTGCGCCAAGCTGACGCATCTCGGTTGAAAGGGCCTGTAATGAGCTCGCGAGCTGGCTTTCATGGCCATTATGGAACGCTAGTGTAAGTCTTGTTGTTCCGAGATTGTGTTGCGTGATGCTTGCAAATAGCCTTGAAGCTACTGAACTTGCATAGTTACAGTAGTGGTGTGTGCAAATATTGCACCACAAACGCCGCGGATGTAGGATGACACCCGTGTTTCGGTTGTGAGGAGTTCCTTCAGCATATCAGTGAAGTATCGGCCCTGTTACTACAATCAACGCGTGTAACAGCACAATTAGCGCCAACCAATATGCATATGCATGACATTTGGTTTGCGCCCTTTCCTTTCTATAGTAGTACCGGCCCCTTGTAAAATATGTTTTCTTTTTGGGCGTTTGCATGTGGACATATTGAGGAGAAGGACATCATCCGCATGGAAGCGCAGCAGCTGATAGTTTCCGCGCTGGAAGACGGCACTTTGGAGAAGATCTTGTCGACTGTTCTCAAGGACTGGGTTTTGAAACGTCGTGTGTGTGTGTGTGTCGCACTCCGTGTCCAGGAGTTTAATTTTTAACATACAATCTGCAGGGGCCGCCTTTGCAAACGGATGCTTTGCAGGATGCCATTCATCCACCCCTGTGATCTCATGCCACCCAAATCAACAAACGCGTGACTCCAATGGAGAAAAGGAAGAGGCAAACCACAGGTTCTCTGGAGAAAAAATGGCCCTACATGCTTCAACTGGGCTGAGCCACTGAGTGTAACCACTTCCAGTTCAGCGCTGTGTCCGACAGAGATGGGATCTCCTTCCTCAGCTTGGTCTGGAAATCCTGCAAGCCAACCACTTCAGTTGGTTCGCTGCAAAGCTGGCATCCCTCTCACCAGTGGTGGATGGCCACCGAAGAGGCCACTGGTGAGGGCTGCAAACGTACCTGCTGAACTAATTACTCCGCTGTCAGAATTTCAGACACCGTTTTTTGAAAAGTGCCATCTACTAGGGTTCGCAAACATGGGTGCCCGATTAGGGAAATGCCATCTGTAGATGGCACTACTCCAGGTGCAGGCAGGCACTTTCCAGGCGTTCCATCTACATGGTTTTAAACCAATGAATTTGGTTTAAAGGCAGAAGGCATTTTTTGTTTACATATTTGTTTGTTTTTCCCTAATGGCGCTCAACCGGGTGGGCTTGGGAGGCATAACTTTGTGCATATCAGGGGTTGCTCGCACTAGTTGAGCCATCTACCCCTCATGTTTGCCTGGAATTGTTCTTGGAGGAGCGCGTTTTTTTGGTTGCACGCACTGTTCATTGCACATTTCCGTGCCATCTACCCATTTTGGGGGCATCCTAGTTGTGCTATCCTATTTTGCAACGGTGTAGGGCAACAGAAGGAAATGGTACTCCACACACTTGTGTGTCGGTGCCTTTCCTTCTGTTGTCCCTGTTCTAGTCTAATCTACCCGGGCGGTTTAAGACTAAAGTCCCGCTCCCTTACTAATTGCACGTGATTAAGAACCGCTAAGTAATCAGTAGCTAGAGCACTGAGTATTCAGTAACTAGCTTCTGAACTTTGTTCAACACTTCAAGTACGCTGACCCCTTCACCTTACTGTTCCCCCGGTCCTTCCCCTGTGGATTATGACATTGGATGAACCTGTGACTACGTGTGTGTGTGTGTGTGCCACACCCCGTTTCCAGGGTCTTCCACCTTCCTTGTTAGTCTTGAGCAGGGGGATGAGGATCCCTTGGTGTGCCTCATCTAACAACGACCGCGCCGAGTGGATGTGATATCGGTGCCCGGCCAGCACCGACGTACCTGCGCAGATTACTAACGCTACTCTTTCCTGCTGTTTGTTGGTTTCATGGTGGCTCATGCAACTCTATATCTTTTCCAACCTTTTCGCGATGACTTTGTTAAAACATTTGCAACTTTGACGGACCCAGCTTTCTTGCGGCTTGCACTAACTAACCAGTCAAGCGACTTGCGTAACTGAACTCCACTGGAGATTACGTTCCGTCACCGGAACTTTGAGTCTAAGTGCGACCAAGGGGCGCTGAGACCACTCTGGCAATCACTTTCTGAAGTGCGATTCTCACCGAAGCCGATGACTGCTCAACTGATTTTCACGAATCTTCTGAAATTTTACTGATGAGTTCACGTTGTTTCTTCACTGGAACTACTTGCCTCAGAGCTTTCGTGACACGTTCATATGGACTCATGTGACTTCAGATTTTCAATTCACAATTTTTCCCCCGCCTTCTTCTCTCTTGCGGTGTTCTTTGTGTTTTTGGGTGTTCTTTCAGGCTTGTTTGGTTGCTCTTGAGGCTCCTTTTGGCGCCCCTCCCTGTAGGTATGTAATGAGTCCTTTGAGTCAAGTGCTAAGTATTTGTTTTTTCCAGTCAAGTGCTAAGTAGTCACTTCTCTCTAGAACCTAGGATAACCTAGGTAATTCCCAGGCTGTCTAACGTGTTGTTTCCTTCTTAGATCAAATGAGGGCCGCTCTGCAGCGATGTGTGTGTGTGTGGCACACCCCGTTTCCAGGGGTCTTCCACCTTGCTTGTTAGTCTTGAGCAGGGGGATCCCCAGCAGCACCTGCGCAGTGACATGACATGACATTCCGCTATTCTTTTCTGCTGTTTTTGGTTTCATGGTGGTTCATGCAACTCTAATATTTTTCCAACCTTTTCAGCTGCTGAGCGCGCCTGATTTTTGCTGACGATACTTTGTTAAAACATCTACATGTTTGCCGGACCCAGCTTTCTTGCAGTTTGCACTAACTCTCCACTGGACAATATTTGCCTCACCGGAACTTTGAGTCTAAGTGTGCGAATGCAACCGTATGCGATGGAATCAGCAAAAACTTATTTGAACCATGCCTGTCGACAGGATAGCCCCGGAGCCAAGGACAGATGTGCTGTTTCAGTACATGTTTTCTGGGTAGACTCCAGGTAAGGCTTGTGGAGTCAGCCAGAAGTGCATTTGGTTTCAATCGCGCAATCGAAGGGTGTGGACATTTGTGAGCAAAGCAAAAAGGAAATAAAACATATTTTGTAATATGTTGTATCATGTTGTATCATTCAGCCTGAGCCTAGCGCCTAACTCATCCAGGCACCTAGGAGGCTACTTGAGTTTCTTACGTTTAGTAATTAGCGTTACTGGCCATAGTTGCCATCTACTTGCTCCTCAAGGCCTATCTCCCCCAGCTAAAGATAAAGAGATTGGCTTGCTTCCGGAGATTGATTCTGTAAGGTACTTGCCATATCCATGTCTAGGCCAATTTGGGGAATGCCTCGAAGGGGTTGCTCGCTCGTTTTGTTCCAAGGGCGAAGAGCTCCAGCGGAAAGTCACCAAGCTGCTTCGGTCGGTTCCCGAAGAAGAGCTCGAAAGGGCGACTGACCAGGTGATGCAGGACGGGACAGCCAAACCAAATTTGTGGGTTTGTATATGTTGTGTTGTTTTTTTGGTAATCTGAGCCATTGAAAGAAGATGTGAACTGAACTCAGAATCTGATTGCACTAGAATCAGTAGAAAACACGAACCTGCCCACATTGGAATCGATGGTGATGCTATGTCATATTTGCTTCTACTGCATGTTCATGTCAACTGCTTCCTTTTGCGCTTTCCAGAATCTCAGCGCAGCTGACCGCAAGAAGATCTTGAGTGCGATTGAGAAGATTCAGGCAAATCTTGTCACGTTAGTTTGGCCAATGTCATGAATGTACTTCACTTTTCGAATGACCATATGTACAATGTATACGTATATATCATCATCATAATTCATAATATACACATACGAAATCCCTATATATACATATATTATACACAGGTATGAGCGGCAACTGGATGGAGCAGCTAACGTGCATGATGCAATTGGCAAAGTGTTTAAGTGTTGCCACTTGTTTGCGCCTGCTGCACATGGAAACCAAGCGTGTCGTCGTAACAACTTTATGCTTGTCGATTCAACTGTTCAATCCGCTCAGGTGGGTGGGTGGTGGACGCAGGTTCCCTTGATGTCTTTGCGTTGAGCGCAGCCACGCCGAATGAAATAGAACGGTATGTGCCCAACAGTATACACAATGTCAATCGATCATTCACTGCCAGCTTGCGCTAGGGGCCACCTGTGGCCTCTAGGTGACTGCCGTGATACTCCTGAATTCATACGCAGCATACACAATGTCACAGCGATTCTGAGAAGCTCGAAATCTACTCCCTGGAAGATTAACATGGAACCTGACAACCACTATATTATAGAGGAAAATAGTCTTCCACACATCCATTTTCAGGTTCCATGTTGTTCTTGCCGAGTGTATGTGCGGCAGTTTCAGTGGCGCTGCGCCAAACTGGCACGAGACGAGATAGGCTCACAGCTGACTCCCTGGTAAATGCAGTACCGATGTGAGCCACGAAACCACATGAAAATGGGCACGGCACTGGGGTGAAACGACGTGAAACGATTATTCTTCAATTCCCAGAGGAATGCAATGTCAAACGATTGTTGTAGCGTCAGAAATGTTCTCAAAACTGAGATTTGAGTGCACCATGCAACAATGATTCCTCCTTTAAAACATGATGTGGGTTGTTTGTGTGGCATTGTCGTTTGCAATCTTGGCACTGTCTAGCAGTCTAGCAACCCTGCCATCAAATAAGCCCCCGCTTGCACCGCTGTGTCCCATGGACACAAAGGGACGACTAAAGGGACGGACAAATGCTTCAGTCTTTGATTTGCAGAGGAGTCATTTCCCTTCTGTGCTTTTGATAGTTTGCGATGCTTTTGGGCTGCCATTGTACCAAAGTCACCAGAGGCCGGAGATGACAAAGACGAGCTGCGGATAAAGATTGCGGAGCTGATGTTGGCAGCGCCAGAGGAAAACCTCGACCAAGCCTTGGCTGCAGTCATGAAGGACTGTGGAGTGAGCGGTATCAATCAGGGGTTCGGAGGCTTCGGAGGTGAATGTTGATGGACAGTAGATGGGTAGCACACATCATGAGCCACACATGACTCTGGAAATGGAACGCTGTTCTATGATAGAATTCTGCACATTTGTCCGCCGGCAGCCCGCGGAGGCAACAAAAACAAGCAGGGGGACGCTGAGGTGTACGGTTTGAGATAATTAATTGACCGGTTTTCGGGTTCCCATATTTGCTGTCGATCAAGACGTATCACCAGGATGTCAGCCCTGCTGACAAGCAGAAAATTCTGCAATCAATAGAAAAGCTCGAGGCGAGGTCGAGCTGGTACAGTGCAAGTTGTCTATTTGCAGTTGGGTTCGGTGATTGATTTGATGTGTGTTGGTGTGGATGATGCAGTATTTTACAAAAGATCAAGGGAATTATGGAGGTTCGAGCGATAGCCGGTGAGCCCCAGTTGGACTTCTATGGGTTTGATTGGGTGTAAAAGCAACGGGGCCAGGCCAAAGACGGCAAGCATGCGCTGCGCATTCAGATCGCAGAAATGATCCTATCAGTTCCAGAGAAAGACTTACACAAGACCTTGACCTCCGTGATGAAGGAGACTTGGAGCAGTTCGATTCATAGGCTATAGCTTTCAGGCGGAGAACAATCCCATCCGAGTTTGCAATTTGCACCACAATTTGAAGCTTTCCAAGGTAAGCTTTCCAAGGTGCTCGCTGTATTGGCCGCATCCCTTGTGGACCCAAGGACATAAGTGCCGCCGACCGGAAAAGGATTCTTGAAGCTGTAGAGAAGGTCGAGGCTGGGCAGAAAGATGCTTCACTGGGGCAGACGGCCCCCAAGACCATGGCAGATATGGAAACTATTTTGCATACTCCCCTTGCTTAGTTGCCGATGATTTTTGCTCGGCTAAGGCGAAAGAGGAAAGAGAGGAGTTGCGCTTCACAGTGCTGCGGCTGATAAGGTCTGCTCCAGAGAAGGATTTGGAACAGAATTTGGCCAACATCATGAAGGACACAGTGCTTGCTCGTGTTGCGAAGGGACATCAATGAGCATCCCTCAGTACCAGGATTCGGTTTTGTACAGGTTTGCGTGTGCCACAGACGTTCTCAATCCTTCCTGTTGTTTCCATTGTGCCTTAACGATGTCAGGACGTCAGCACGTCTGACAGGAAGAAGATTTGTGCAGCTATCGAGAAGATGGAGGTCGGGAGTTCCATTCCTGACGAAAGGGTTTTCCTTCCTAATAGAAAGGGTTTTTAGGTCAGTATGAGTGTACAGAGCTTTCCAGGAGACCTATGGAGCTTGGTATAAATCTCGTGATTTCAAGTGATTTCTTGTTGTTGGATTTGTTTTGGTTTATGAGTGGTCTTTGGGCTTTAGTGGCTTTGGTGTGTTTTCTGTGGCTTGTGCGGCTTCAAAGGGTTCGTTGTCACTGTTTTTGCGGAATGTGCTTGCTTCGTGGCTTTGCTACTTTTGTTTTTTGTTGCGTTTGAGGGGGCTTTGGCTTTGGTTGGCTTAGCTTCTCTATTGCAGGCGGTCCCTTTTCGAACTTTTGATATGTGTCTTCGACTTTCCACTGAAGAAAACTTGGCAAAACTCTTGCATCTTTGGCGGTGCGTTGTTTATGGTCCTTTGGCTCAGTCTTTGCCATTTAGTTGGTAGATAGGGGCATTGAACCATCTGCAGTTTTTGGATGAATGTGTTTGTTTACTCTTTGTGGAAATCCAATGCAGAGGAGGAACCGTGATACATATCCACACATGCGCACATACATAAATGTCAAACTATAAGGAGCAATCTAGCAAAAAAAAATGCAAACACAACAACTAGTAACAATATGTAACAATATCATCATATCATTCAATATTAGCATTGCAACCGTTTGTGCCGGTACCCCTTGCGGCCCTTGTGGCTGACTCACTAGCTGAGGGATGTATTTGCATCTATGATGTTTGCAGCCTCAGGCAGGGAGCAAGAAAGATGCTTTGCGCATCAAGGTTGCAGAGCTGATGATGGATGCGGGTGATGGACGGGCGATTGCTGCAGTCATGAAGGAGCAATTCCGGGAAATTCAGGTCAGATGGCTCTAATGGTGAGGTGTTTCGATGTTTTTGGCATGTATAGACGTATATGATATATGAAACAGGCAAGTTTTGCGCATTGGTGACCGCCAACAGGACCTGAGTGCTTCTGACCGGGCAAAGATCCTGGAGGCCATCGAGCGACTGGAGGTCCGGGCATAGCGTGGTGACTTCGGGTGAGCTTTGTCCGGCAAAAATGATTCCCAGAACCGACCCATGTTAACCTCCAAAGCACCCTTATTGAAGAGACCCTTTTGACCTCTGTCATGCCAGGAGAGAGAGAGAGAGAGGCTGCAGGTGAGATAGACCGGGCGACCTAAGTCCAAAGCTGCTGACCGAAGCTATAATCTGAACCAGCTAACAGAAACACATCCCCATTTATATAGCTTGTTTCCAGAGACCCTGGTCCAACATTCAGCCAAGCACCAGGGTCCGAAGACTGGCGCTTCGAAGGAGCGAATGAGTTGAGCGTAGTTGAGCTGTTGAGCCGGTTGGAGTTGACATGAAACTTGCTCAATTGAAGGAGTCTCTTGTGATTTGAGCACCTGATGGGAAGCTTGCTTCTTAAAGCTAAGTGCAACCTTTTGGAGATCAGTGGGCAAACCATGGCAAACCCATCGTGGCTTCAACTGGTGTATTCTGCCCACACCCTCGTGCAGGGGCACGTCACCAAGCCTGCAAGTTACGAAGCCCAGCAGGTTCTTTTTTCAACACTTTTTTCTGTACCAGGATGCGCTGGCAGCGATGGCAGCGGATCTTTTGGTAGCTGCTGCCGAAAGCGGTGAGCTCGAGAGCACATTGACCGAGGTCTTCAAGGACTTGACGGCAGCAATGGGAGCAACAGTGTTAGCACGTTTATAGATACCTTGATGCTCTGTGAGCATGTTTTGCAACTTGTTCTCGAGCCGGCTGATTGATGCACTATGAACATCACGATTGATTGCCACCTTGCAGGAACCATAAATATAGTAACTCATTTGGGTTGAACCCTTGGTTTCTACAATGATGGTGTCAGCAGGAGCAAAGAGAGGCCGCCGTCGTCGCCGCGTGTTTCATCCGCGATGTGAGTTCTCTTTGATCGATACGGGGGTAGAGCTTGACGGGCCAAGAGTGAAAAAATCGCTACCTAGTTGGCATGAAGAGATTTCTTGATTATTCTTGTCTAGACATTGGATATCTATATATTGAGCGGCAGCAACGGGAGAACGCCACTGCGACAGCAACGTTTTGGAGATTGCTGAAGATGCCGACCGCCAGGCCTCAACCGGGAGTGAGCTGCGTGACAAAGTGCTTCAGCTGTTGCAGTCTGCCCAAGAGAAAGATTTGCCGAAGGCGTTGGCAGCAGTTATGAAGGACCAGCGACAGCGTTCAATGCTCTCAGAAGTCGATAGACTAAACCAAATCCATACGCCCTGGGGACCGTTTGCAGAAGTCAGAAGTCCCTTGATTTACTGTACACATTCACGGAGATGAGTCTCCATATAGACTCAAAAGATCTCAAAAGTGAATGTGAGCCCTTGTGAACCCATTGGTCTTGCAGAACTTGAACTCGAGTATGTTTTTACATGTTTCAGTGATTCCCAAGCCAGGAGCTCTCTCCAGCCGACAAGACGAAGATCCAAGAAGCCATGCGGAAGGTGGAGGCTGGAGTTAGCTGCCGGAGTGGGGTTTGGATAGCGGTTGCGAGTTCACCAAGCTTCAGATGCGACGAACAAACCTCGACAGGGAGACCCGGACGCTGCGTTCCGCCTCAAGATTGCCGAACTGATGCTCACTGCTCCACAGAACAACCTGGAGCAGGCACTGGCAGCTGTTATGAAGGACTTGGGATTCAAGAGTTGCTCTAAGCCTTTGTGTTTGTGTGTGTGAGTTGGATGCAGATGTGATGTCGGGTCGTGATTGCTTCCTTGGGCTTGACATGAATCCCACACCAGGATTTGAGCGCCTCGGACATTCAGAAGATCAGAAAAGCTGTCAAAGCAGTGGAGGCCGGACAGAAGGTACTGGGGCTTCCAACTCTTGAAAGTAGTGTTTGTAAAGCCTCGGTCTACTGAGTCTACTGGTAGAGTCAACCACTAACACACTTTATAAGTTTCTATAAGCGTGTATATATTCAATCATTTAAGGTAGGCAGGGTCGGTGATGATGAATTATTTGGGAAGCTTCGAATCAACGTCTCCCAATGTTTGAATGCTCAAGCCAAACTGGGGAGACGCCCCTTGAGGAGCAGTGTCGCTGCTGGTACCTCAAGCTAAACTTTTTCTTCCCGTTTCGGACGCCATGGCAAGCGCTGACGAGCAAATCCGCCGCTCTGCTGAACAGCAGAAGCTGGAGCGGTGGTGCGCTGCCCATGGGATTGAACGGCCCTCCGATTTGGCGTTTTACTTCGTTACCTACGAAGAAGCGCTGAAGCAGGGCCGCGCGGTGGCGGATGCCTGGGATCAGGCGCGCCGCGAAGCGGAGCTGGGCGCTGGGGCCTTGGTGCGAGACATCGTTCGCCGCGAACAACTTTCGCAAGCTGCGCCACGGCCTACCACATCTCCACCGTTGAGGCCACGACCTACCCCATCGTTTGCAGGGCCAGTCCGGCCCAGCACCCAGGGCCGTCAGTCGGGCGGCCCTGACGGCGGTGCATTGACCTTCTTGCCCCAGTTGATGGCCATTCTTCTGGCGGTCGAGCCCCCGCCGGCGGCTCGCTTGGCTGAGATCACCGCCAACTTCGAGGCAAAGCTCACGCATGTGCTCCAGAAGGCGGAGGCCGCCACTGTGAAACGGGCTTTGCACACGTGGCAAGAGCTTCAAGGGGCCATTGCGGCCGCAGGTGGAGGTATCCCGGACAAACACCTCCTGGCCACCTTCATTCGGGAGCACAAGTCACCTACAAGGGCATATACAGCTCTGGGGTGGATCGTCCGCAACCTCAAGTTGCCATTTGACCTCTCCGAAGTGGTGAAACCTCGGGCTGGTTTGGGATCTCGCCTCGGCCAGGGGCAGGCGCAGGCGGCGACTTTGGAACCCTCTATGGTCATCCATCTGTTGGGCACCCTGGAATCCACCGTTGACAATCCTCACTGGCCCATGGTGTTTTGTGCCTACGCCCTATGTTTTGGTGTGGTCAGGTACACCCATTTGCAACGGAGCTACTTGGTCGGCGGTAACGGGGGCATCCTCGTGTTCTGGTGCACGAAAGGTATAAGACTGGCAGTCGTGGCGGCTTCGCCTGGAGCGTTCCACGGTACTGTGGCACGTTGGACCTCCTACAAGTGCTGGGTACCCATCTGAACAAAGTGCGCCCCAGAACAGGTGCCGGTTTCAGGCGCTGGCATTGGTTGGGGTTCGACTCTGCTACAGCCCAGCCGGTGGGTACAGCGCAGTGTGTCCGGATCCTACGACCATACCTGAGTGCGGCCATGGACGTTACCAGCCTCTCGTCCTAATCATTCCGCCGAGTGCTTCCGACTTTGGCAGGGTATGTGGGGTTATCAGAGACAGAGCGACTCGCTCTTGGACAATGGGTGGATCAGTCCTCCAAGTCTACGGCTACCACCCCTCTGCGATATGACTCACGGAAGCAACGCCTGGGACACCAGTTGCGCTTGGCCGGTTTGCATTTCTTCCAGGACCTCAACATGGCTTTGTGGGACGAACTGCCGACAGGCTATGCCTCTGCACGATGGTCCACTTGCATGGAGGAGGCTGACGAGCTCCTTGCTTCTGACCCCCAGATCCGCCGAGTTTCTACGGACTCCATCCCTGGCATGCCCGTGGTCAAGACCTTGCTGCCAGCCCAGGTCCAGATCATTCGAGCTACTGGCCAACGCCTCACTGCCGCGCTCAGGCGGAAGCGCCCGGCCCCAGCCGCGGCTGCCGGCCCAGCGACAGAGCCCACACAGGGGCCGAGGAACACGGTGTCAACATTTTCGTTCACCAGTCCTTCGCGGCCGGCGAAGCGGGCACGGGTGGAGCCGCCACCCAGGGCTGCTGCTGGCGGTAGCGCCCAACCGGTGACGCCGCCCAAAACACCTCCGCCAAAGGTGCCACCTATGCTGCCTGTGGTTTCGCCCTCATCAGCTTCGGCATCTACTCCATCTTTGCGGGCACCACCACCTTTGCCGTCGACCTCACCTCGGGCATCTTCATCTTCGGCAGCAGCAGGCCCTTCAAGCACGCCACCTTCGACCCCCAAAGTCAAGGCCATGCCCTCAGTGCTGCAACCGTCGCCGGAGCGGCCTCAGCACCTGCAGGAGGCGAATGACGCGGCCTTTGATGCAGCGGCACGGGACCGCTGGCGCCGGCCCGGGCACAGTGGCGCCCCAGAGCCTCCCACGCTCATCTTCCTGGGTGAAGCAGGCAACGGTTCTATCTACATTGGGCGGTCTGCCCACGGACCGGGCCTGGTTGGAGGCCCACCACATCGGCATGAGCCTCAGCGCTATGGACAAGATTGCCGCTGACTGTCGGGGAGGGGTCAGCGCCCGCCAGGTCTACCAATTCAATGTTCCTGTTGGCCATCAAGGAGCCCTCCGTGACCGCCAGTTGAAGTTGGTGCTGCCTATCTTCCTGGCAACTCTGTATTCGGGCTACTCCGTCCTGGTTCATTGCATGGCGGGAGTGCACAGGGCCCCTGTGCTGGCTGGTTTGCTACTCGCATGGATCCGGCGGTGCTCCTTCGAGGAAGCGTACTCCCGACTGGAGGGTTTGCGGGCTATCGACCAAGCCGGTGTGCTCAGCCGGCGGGGCGGCTCTGATATCTTCAAATGGGCTCGGAGCCAGGTCAACATCACATCACCGTCCCTGCCGAGGTACCCGATTTCATTCTCATTACCTCTACAAAAGCAGGATCGCACTGGCATGTGGAGCGTGACAACGCGCCCTGGTGCAGATGGCGCCAACGCAATGCCGCTTACCGAGGCGAAGTCCACCGAGCTCGCAGCATTCATGAGGCCTTGGCCTATGGGCGAGATTTCTGTATCACATGTAAAGCAGTGCTCCCTGGCAATGCCCAGGTCCACTTGTACTAATAACTGCAGTCCTTCGGAAACAGCACGCCTACCGGGTAGGCCGAGAGGCGTCTCGTGTGCTATGCAAGTTTTTTGCCTCATAGGGACTCGGCGGCCGGCCCGAGGAGTAGGTCCCTATTCTGAACTTCGATCGAGTTTTAT